TTTGCCGGGGTCTGCTCTGACCTGGGAGAACAACATTCATCAGAATAATTGGGGGAACAGAAAATTTAGGGTGAGTTTCTTTGCACTAAGGGCACACAGCTTCCATTTTGTGCATCTCTAATTGCATAAACCTCGAGTCGGGGAGAGTTACTCCTGATTTGTATGTGCTGAAATGTTAGCAGGATCCTATCCAGTGTCCTCAGCATCCTGCTCCTGGAAAGCTGCTCCCTTGTTATGCATGAGGCTGCTCTGAGACATGTTCTAGGTCATCATGAGGTCTCCTTTAACTTGTAATTGAGTGCCATTTGTCCTGGTGAAGGATTTTGTCTTCACTAAGTCCAGTGACCTTGGACTGATCCAAGCTTTGCAATCTGTAGGGCAAAAACTGCTTCATCAAGTGGTGCCTCTCTGTGTGCATGTGTATGTGTTTACACACACGTGTCATCTTTCTTTCCAGCTCCTTCTCTCCCTCTTCTTTTTCCATTTGGTTCTGCTTTGCATTTTGTTTGCTATGTGTTGTCCTGTTGTGAGTATTGCTCATGCACGTTGAGTTAAGGTTCCCCAAGGAGTCTGGCACTGAAAAATTAACTTTTTTGGTTTTCACGCTCTCAAACCCCTTTATTACAAGCTGGGATTATTGCTCCAGGGTAGTAAGATGTTGGGAAGAGTTGAAACATGGCACTGCTGAGAATCAGTTAGTATAAAAACTGCATTAGTACCCAACTGTGTGCTGATCACCCCACCACCAAAGGCAAATTGGGTTACAAGTGAAATAAGCATGTTGAACCTCATTCTAACATGTTGCTCTCTTACGAGCTTTTTTCTTCAGTGCTTTCCTCTAGATGTGTGAGAGAGCTGGGCAAAATATATCTGGAAAGAGCAGCTCCTTCCCTTTCTCTTCCCCCAGAAAATAAGGAACCTGCCTTGCAAACATCAAAATGATTTATTTCTATGTGTTTCAATTTGGCAAGTGAGAACAAGGGGACTTTGGTACTACTCACAGTGAGAAAGGTGGTATGTCATCTGAAATCTACAACTCAGTTACTATACATGAGGGATCTGAGGCAGAGATCAGAGAGATGTTTTGCACATTTCAGGCATGTGATTTCTTTTCCTCTAAGGGTCTCTGCTACACTGGCTTTCCTTCTACACTTAATGATTCACACACTAAATTAAAGGATCAACTCTGAATCTGGTTATGAGGTGATCTTAATCAGTTAAGGAACATATTAAGCTCTCTGCTGTTGAATTCCTTTGCATATTGGAAGGATATGGTAATGAACAAATATCCTGCCAGTCTGGAGGTGAGAGGCTTTTGGGGTCTGAATTAAAAAAAAGGAATGAAGTGAGGAAGCCTCAGCAGGTTAGAACCCTGCTGTGTGTAACCAAAGACTTAGCCTTTTGTGGCCTCCAATCTTCTCCTACTGTTTGCAAAACTCGCTTTCTGTCCTCAGTTATCATCATTATTTGGCCAGGGGAAGAGATACCATTTTTATTTTAGATCACCCAGCTCTCTGGCACCTAGGCTTTAATGGCAGACAAGAGATGGAAAGTATGGGAGATGCTGCCAGTTCTGCTTAACCAGAACTGTGTCCTAATGCTGGCTGATGGCTTGACATGATCACTTCCCCTTTCCTCCACAGAACACATTGTACACCTTTATAAAACCTCTCAATATTGGAATGTCTCATGACAACCACTTGGCAGTGCTTCCTTATTGCTTCACCTACTAAGCATGAGCATTAATGAGTGAAGGAAGGGCCCAGTTGTAAGCCTTGTGCAGTGCCCTGAGCTTGTGCAGCAGCAGGGAATGCCTCAGACTGACATACAGGTAAACCCATGTTCTAATGTTCAGCAGCTCCTTTGCTGCTGGGAATGTGAGCAGATCACCTGCTTTTCTGCTGGCCAGCCCAGAGCAGCACCAGGGCTGCAAAAAGAATCCAAAATGCTGCATCACTTGTTCTCTCTGCCATAAAGTCACTTGTGCACAGCTGAAGCAAACTTCTTTGGCCTGCATTTTGTTTCTCTTTGTATCTACAGGAAGAGTCACAAACCACTCAAGTTACTAACAGTAAAAGCAAGTAAGTTTTCCTGGTGCGCTTTGGGTCTATTCTTGTCATGTTATTGCCACCAGAGCAGGAGGTACTGGATCCTCCCCTCTCTGCACCTGACTTTTCCAGTTGGAGCAGGGCTGCATGCAGTGCTTCCTACGGATGTGTTTTGCACCAGGCAGCAAGTTCAATGAGCCTCTGAAATGTGCTAGGTACAAGCAGATCATGCGCGGGGCCGGGATCTGGGTTTTCTCTGTGTCCGTGCAGTTGCCAGAGGAATGTGTTTCTCAAGCCCCCATCTGCAGCCCTGTTTGTTTTCCCTCCTCCAAACCTCTTCTTTGTAGAGCAGGATGGAAAACAATGGGGAGCAGTGGTCTGAAACTGAGCAAAGTGGGGAAAAAAACTAGGCTGGACGTCAGTAGTTTCATAACTGATGGCAATGAGTATGGGCACATTTGCCTCTGAGAAGAGGCTGAACCTATTTCATCAGATTCAAATGAGGCAGTACAAAGGAGGAGGATGATTCTATTAAATTTAGGGGAGAAAAAAAGGAATTTTCTGCCATAATGTGGGTTGGTGAAGTTCTCACAAGCTGTCCTGCTTGTTACCTCTGTGTAGATTGAAGACTTGATTATAGTGTGTTTCCTGCTAGAAAGGCTTCAACATATCATCTTCCTTACTCACATGTACAAGGTCACCTGTTTTATTAGATCATAAGGTGCTACTTAACCTCTAGGGGGATGTCTGGAAAGAGCAGCTACTTGTGAAGGGGATGGTGTGAGAATTTAAGCTGAGCATTAGTTGACATTTGCAGTGTGGAAAACAAGAGCTTTGCCAAACCTGGTCTGAACGTTGGCCATGGCTGGAGACCTGCACCTGGTCAAGTTACAGTGCAAAAATTTGTACAGTGCTACTGTTAAGCAGTTAAACCCCGACAGCTCTATTTAAGGCTTGTACTTATGAAGCAACTGAAATAACATATTGGGTGTGGTGGTAACTGTGGCGCTTGAATTTAGACTTGGATTAGGTTCAGGTTTTCGGCTGGGACCTCAACTATTTTCTAAGGTGCACAGCGGGGCTGTGATAGTGGTTCTGACCACCCCTGGGAGCAGAGCTCCACCCGGCCTTGGGATTGTCCTTAGATTTACACCTGCAGATTTCTAATGTGTTGTCTTCCTCCTCAGCTATACCTCTGCCACCTTTTTTATTCTGGCCCTCTGGTCTAAATGAGTAAAAAGATAAAATGGTGACTGCCCTAGGGTAACCTCCAGCAAGCAGAATACTCCTCTCATGACACCGCTTTATAAGTCGATTTTTAAGTTCTGTGTGAAGACCACCCCTTGTGAAGGGGCTTGACTTCCTACGTGGTGCCCACAGAGCTTACCCAGAGGTGTGTTGGCACTAGAGCCACTTGAGAGCTTTGCCTGCTCCTACTGTGAAATGGTTACCCCTGCATCCCTTTGCTTCAGCTCTTGATGAAAACACCATGATCCAACAGAAGTGCCTCCATGAACTGTACGCTCTGTTTTCCTGTTTCAGTCACTCCAGGGATAATAAATAGCAATGCTAATAACTAAAAGCAGATGCCATAGATCAAACCCTGGGTATGACCCATTTTCCAATGGCAGTAGGCATATTTTAGTACCGTATGTACTCTGTGTATGATTTAGTATCTTCTCCCATACCTGTCTATTGTACTCCCTCTGTGGCAGGGGATGGGAGTGCTTGGGCACAGGAGGGAAGGGAATGTAGCTTTATGTAGGTTCTGAATGTAGGTATAGGCTGCAAAACTTGTTGAGCAAATGAGTAGTCTGGAAAAGAAATGAATGCCGAAGGAGTTAGTCTTCCTTATTCTGCTGTCCATGCTTGTGCTCCCATGTTTCAGAGAGCTGAGAACAATTTGAAGGAGATTTCCAGGGTTCAACCCACCTGCTTCTGCCTGATTCCTACCATTTCTTGGACCTACCAGTGTTCTGCAGTCTCAAAGCACAGTAGAAAGTGGTATTTAACAAAATAAAACTTTCTGCCCCTTTAAAACTTAGCTTCCTAATTCAGTATTTTCTTAGTCAGGAGTTCATACAAAAGACTGTCAGAATTTCTAAGTGAACATAAATTTTCTTGGATGAAGATCAGTTTGTGGAGCAGGAAAACAATGTAAGGGATCTTTAATTTCATGAGATGAGTCTCTCACTAGTTCTAGCTCCACGTTGTATATGCAAAACTGCAATACCATTCTCATACAGCAGCTCAAATACAGGATCATAGAATCATTTTGGTTGGAAAAGACCTTTTAAGAGAATCAAGTCTACCCATTAATCTTGTACACTGCCAAGTCCACCATGTCCCTAAGCACAATATTGACACATTTTTAGCATATCTCCAGGGTATTTAAGAGGCTTTTAGGTGGATGTAGATGTACTAGAGTCATACACTCTCCTGTATTTTGCTGAAGTGAGGGGGGATAAGAACCTGCTTATAACGCTTTAGGGGTTGAACTAATTGCATGTGGAGCTAGGTCGGTGTACCTATGGAATACAGCTCCTGTATGTGGTTAAAGAATACTCTGCTCAGAGTGAGACAGGCTTCATGGCATGATGCCATGCACTTATCTATGTATATCTGTATATTGATACATATATATGTCTCAAATCCAATTAGTTCCCCACTCCTAATTTTCTCTCATTTGAGCTGGGAAATAAAATGATACTGCTTCACATCTACTGAAGCAGAATTTCTTGTTTCAAATTCAAAGAATATGCCATTGAGAGAAAATTATTTGGTTTGAACCAGTGAGCTTGTTTTCAAGAGAAATCTTCAGTTTGAATCTTCAGCTGTCAGTGCTGAAGCTTACATGCTCAGAGTTAAAGCCTCCCAAGTTAAAAAGTGATTCAATAGGTTAAATAGATTTGCTCTTCAGTAGCAATAAGAGACTGACAAGACTAGAAGAAGTAAATGCCATGTTTTTAATGCTGATTTGAACAGTCTCCCATGAAGTAAAAGCACCAAACGTTGGGTGTCTTTCAGCAAAGGTTAACAGCAAGGAGCCAGGAACCTGCTCAGACACTTTTTTCAGTATTCATCATTGAAGGGATACTCCGGATGGTCACGCCACCTGTGGATAGGTAAAATTGAACAAGTGAGCTTTTCAGAGGAAATAGGATATCACATCACTGATACAGGTGTTCTGCGCCTAGCCAAACCTTTTCTCTTCTTTGCAATATACAGGTGGCTTTCATGGAAGGCTCTTCTGCTTATTCAGAACCTGTCTGCTCTGGCTAATCTTCCCTGCAGGTTTGGAAGCAACGTTGTGCATGTAAGGAGAGGACAGTGGAGGTGCATTTTTCAGATGTACAGACTGCATTCCTTAAGAACAGATGGGAAAGACCATCAAGAGTTTGCATGTTTGCTATTTTAGCTGTACTTGTGGGTTTACCTCAGGTTAGTAGAAGTGTTGTAGGG